CCCAAATGCTCTCATCCTCACCAACCCCGCCAATGATTTCACCCTGTTCGACTCTCCCTCTCCCACCCTTGATTTCAATACCCTTGCCACCATTAACCCCAGAGAAGGCAAAATCCCCCCATCATTCCGCATCAACGAAATTCCCACCTTCTCGGGCCAACCCCATGAGGATGTCCTCCTCTTTCTCACAAAACTCCAACAAGCCTTCTCCCTCCATGGCATCCCAGTCATCCACTGGCTCCCCATCGCTGGGGGCCGACTTCTAAACAACGCTGCTCGCTGGTGGTACACCGAAATGTCTAATCGCCATCACTGCGGTCTCCGGCCTCACACCTTCCTTGAGTGGGCCACCCTCATCACCTCCACCGTCCGCCCACAGAAAACGGTCGATGACTATAACGACCAATTCTGTCGGCTCCAACAAAACGAACCAACCGACCGTTTTGTGCAATACGTCCGCTCGCTTCGTCAACATATCCCCTTTAACGTCGTTAGCGATTTCGCTTCCATCTCCCGCGTTAAGCGCACCTGCCGCAAAGACCTAGCGGCCGCCCTTGTCCACGAGCCCCCCATGACCCTCGCTGACCTCCTCACTCGTACCCTCCAACTCGACCGCATCCTCTCCCCCTACAAGACCACACTTACATTGGCCCCTCCCCGCGCTCGCTTCTTCCACAACATCGCCTCCGAGGACACCACCTCCACCACCTCCTCGGACGAGTTCACCTCCCCCGACCTTGACACCTTCTCCGATCCACTAGACACCACATCACTCTCCCCCGACGAACTCTCTGCCATTCACCTCATGCGAATGGAAAAGAGAGATCGCTCCAGCCGCCATTCCCCAACCACCCCCTCGGGCCGCCTCAAGAAACTCACACCCGAGGAAAGAGCCTACCTTCAAGCAAAGGGTGAATGTTTCCGTTGTCGCCAGTTAGGACACCAACAAACTAACTGCCCCAATGCTGGACAGTTCACCCGCCAATCCTCGGCCCCTCGACCCACAACCTCCGCGTCACCTCCCTCCGCAGGCGCGGGTCCCTCCTCGTTTTGAACACAGTCCCTAGGACCTCGTCCCGGCATCGACAATTCGTCTGTCGGCCAACCCGTTGGTGACATCCCCCGTCCCACCGACGGCCCATTTGGCATCGACAATCCGTCTGCCTCCCCCCTCCCCGATAACACCCTCTCCATCGGATGACCGCAAGGCGTCGCAACCTTCATCACTCGAGACGCCCCCCACTGCTTCGTGCTCCTCCACCCTCCTTCCAAATCCATCCTCTGTCACCTTCTCCGATGTTGTTGAGGAACAAACTCGACTCGATTGGCTTGTCCGGTTAGGCAATGAACAACGCCGCCTCAACACCATGATCTCCACCGCCAACTCATCCCGTTTCCACCTCAAATTCATCGCCGCCACCCTTGATGCGTCTACCACTAAGTTTCGGGCCCTCCTCAACATAGGAGCCACCGGTAACTTCATCACTGACGTGTGTGTCTGGAAAGCTGGTCTTACCTCTACCGATTACGATCCATCTAGGGGACAAAGACACCGCCGTCGTAGTCGGCCGCACGGTTCCCGAGACCACCATGACAGTAGGAACCCTCTGCAGTCAGATCTCATTTGATGTCATGCATTTGATGTGCGACATCGTCTTAGGAACATTGTGGCTGGACCGCTACATGCCATATGCATTCCACCCCAACTTCCTCTGCCTCACCAACCCCCCCGACACAACCATCGACATTCCCTATCTCCCATATCCGACCTCCCAAGGCTCCGTCACCCCGCATCAATTTCTCCACATGGCCCGCGTGAACCCCGACTCCGCCTACTATTGCCTTGTCCTTGACCTCCAAAGTCCCGAGGACTTACTCCCAACGGACAAACCCGATCAAGCCCCCCCCTCTGACCCCGCCCTCACCTCTATCCTCGACGAGTTCAAAGACGTCTTCCCTAAGTCCCTGCCTGTCGGATTACCTCCGGATCGTGGCATATCCCATACCATCGATTTGGAGCCCGGACATTCTCCACCTTGCCGCCCTCCATACCAACTCTCAGTCCCTGAAGCCGAAGAAATGAAGTGGCATGTCAATGAGCTCCTTGAAAAAGGGTTCATTAAGCCGAGTTCATCTCCCTTCGGTACTAGCTGCCTTTTTGTAAAGAAAGGTGGAACTTCGAAACTCCGCATGTGCACAGACCACTGTGGCTTGAACCGGATCACAATCAAGAACAAGTACCCCTTACCTCGGATCACCGAGCTCCTTGATCGACTTCGTGGAGCCAAATATTTCACCAAGATTGACCTTCGAAGTGGCTTCCACCAGATCCGTATCCGCGAGGACACCCATAAGACCGCATTCCGCTCTCGGTTCGGGCACTACGAGTTCCTCGTAATGCCTTTCGGACTCACCAATGCCCCTGCCACATTCCAGTCCACCATGAAGCACATCTTCCGTGACCTCCTCGAAGTCTGTGTCGTCATGTACCTTGATGACGTCCTCATCTTTAGCCCCACCTTCGAGTCCCACCTCCAGCATATTCGGCAAGTCCTCTCGATCCTCCGAGAGCAGAAATTCTACGCCAAGCTCAGCAAATGTACGTTTGCCGCTTCGAGCGTCGAATACCTCGGCCACATTGTCTCCGCTGAAGGCATCCGTATGGACCCCTCGAAGGTCACAGCCCTCATCGAGTACCCCCCGCCCAAGACCCTGCTCCAACTCCGTTCCACCGGCAAGGGAATAAATGTGGGCCCTACTGTTGAGTATGACGGATACTGAAATTAGGTGCAGATGGACGGAGGTTACATCAACAACGAAAGTCAGACCAGAAAGGCTAGCTACCAAGAGACAATTCTTTCATGAGAGACTGGCTTCTACAGGGAAAGATTGCAACAGTGGCAGATAACAAATTCATCTGGAAGAAATTGCACAGCAAAACTCCAGCAAGGACGAAGACCCAGTGATGGGAAAATTGAGACCATAGTCTCAGCAATATAGACAATGCTCCTCTTTTCTTGTTGCACACAAATTATACGACAGAATCACAATGGATTCTGAGAGGAAAAGTGGTAGGGCAAGCTTACAGTCAGTCCTCCTACATAGGAGCAATCAATGCTGGTCAGGGTTCCTTCGGCCAGATGGAAGGAAGCGTGAGAGTGTTCACCATGTATTCCAATTCTCGACTTGCCAATGGACAGGAATTGGACTGGCGCTCCCCAGAATGGATACGGAGCCAGGGCCGTAAGGAACCGTTTAATAAAATAAAAAAAGAGAAAAAAAAAAACATAACATCCCGTGGAGTTGCAATGCAAACAACTCTTCACTGAGAATGACCTGAGAATTCCTTAGCCATCCAAGGCGACAGAGAAAAAAAAGAAAATCCCACCAAGACACCTGGCACACCCTTTGAACAACCAGTATACCCGGGCATGGAGGTGCTCCACTGTGCGTCAGGCTTCGCCAAACACCAGCAGCACACTTTTTTTCTTGTTTGGCTCGAGCCACCAGCCACTGTGGTCCGGTAGGCCTGAGGTGTGAGATTTTCGGGGTAGGCGACAAAACATTTTCAGCAAGGCTGGGGCCGCCTACTGGAAGTTTGAACCCCTTCGAGCCCCATTTACACAGAAGAAAAGAGCCCGGACTTGCGCTGCTTTCGGTGGGCTCAGCAACATCCCACTGACGAAAACAAGAAAAAGGAAAAAAAAGTTAAAAAACGCAGAATTTTCACATGCACATGTTGACCTGGGCAGGAGACCCCCTGGCCGAGCCGCCCGGCCGGTCCCAGGTACCATAAGCCTCAAAGTTCAAATGGATCTGATATCTCAACTTCTGTCAATCCAGGAAAGAACCACACAAAGGCAGCTATAGTAGTTGCTGTGCACACATACACAGTTTTCTAACATAGACCACTTTTCACATTGGAGTACAGAAAGGCAGCTATAGCAGTTGCTGTACACACACACACGATTTCTTTAACATAGACAACGTTTGCACATAGGTTTTTAAACTTGCTGTACACACACACAATTTTTTTAACATAGACAACTTTTCACATAGGTTTTTGAATACTCCATTTAAACACATGCAGTAGAGATCAAGGGTGATGGTGTGTACTGTTCAGAATAACTGCCCCACAGTGCCCCACAATGCCCCATGGGCCCACGGTGCCCCACAGTGTAGAACGTCTAGTGCTATAGGCACAGTTTTGGTGTATCGTGTTAAATTTTGTGCAAATAAATATACGTTGTCATTGAGAACTCCCCACTACACCGTAGGCATAGAGGGAGAAGAGGACAACAAACAAAGGGCCGTGACATACTGTTTTGTCAGAGTTTCACCAACTCGTCAGGAGGGTGAACCCTCAACAGTCTGCAGAGTCCCCTTATCGATGATACTGAATGACAGTGAATCTGATAATCCACCAACAACTGCCCAACACCTGATACCCTGAGGTGGGCACCAACCGCTGCCCTCAAGGTACCTGTACGGAAATCAAAGCAGACTCACTCACCCACACCGGACAGAACTCTATAAATTGTCACATATTTATCAACACATTGGTTATTTAAACTTATTTTTATAAGGTCGTTCACAATTTCATAGCTAAATCATTTTTACCAGTTTTTGACGTTTTGGGTACGAAGTTTCTTTGAAAACTTAGGACAAAGGAAATCTCAATGTTCAACCATCCACCCTTCTCTCCTTGATCGCAACAACATCTTCCTCGACACACACACAGTACACTAAATAGAAAGGGGATTCAGATGGGAGGAAACAAGGATGCCTCATTCATGGAACAACACCATACTTGGAACAATAGCAAATGAGTGCGAAATTTTGCCTCAAGGTAGCTTCAGCACACATCTGAGATAATCCAGTCTACAGTCCGCCTTGGGGAGTACGGTCGCAAGGCTGAAACTCGAAGGAATTGACGGGGGCTTGCACTGACATTTGTAAAAAACAGATCACAAGGATGAACAGATTGTAGGTTCACTAACATCAACAAAATTGTCGTAGTCCAGGGATGGCCTAGGGCAGTGAGCTGCCCCCTCCGGACAGGGAGTGCATTGCTTCATCAAAGGAAGACAAAACGATAGCACTGACGTCAACAGTGAAATCAGCAACGCCTCGATCACCTGCCACAACAAAATAGAATAGCATCTTGATTAGACTGAACCATGTGGTCGATTCCAAAACTGAAGACAAACGCATGTGAAGGGAAACACAACAACCTGTGAATTGATCATGCAATAGCTTCCTCTCTCCCACACCCTCCACACGTCCCTCCATCCTTCTCTCCCTACCTCCCGCCGTTTAAAGCTCGCGGTCCACAACCCCCTTCTTTCCAATGTCCATAGCTCACCATCTCTCCTACCCCTGGGACACAATGTGGGATTCCAACCCCCTGGCTTCCTTCCCTCCCTCACTATGTAGCTTACCCCTCCACGGCCCATGCTTCAGCTCTGTGGCACAGACAGCAAAAGATGAGATGCGCATGCACACCAGTTGGCAATTGGTTCATTATTTCTATTCCTTAAAACCATAATCACACAACAACTTTCTGGGATGTATCCGATTCTGATCTCATTAACGACCAGATCCAGCCCAGACAGCCCCGATGAGTATGCCCTCATTGTTGATGAATATGTACCTCACTGCAGGCGCAAGGCAACCGAGTACCCCAAATGCAGTATCAACAAGGATTACTATAAGAAATGAACAGGAAAGAAGTTCAGAAAACTGCATGCCAGGGATGGATGTCGCACAATTGATAGAAAAAAGTCCACAAAGAGATGACCAAAGGAATAGACCGTACTTTTCACTCAGATCAGCCAAAGCGATGTTCGCCACCAATCATTGGCAGCCAAAACTGCACAGCCATCAGAGGCGACAGCCTTTCGAGAATGCAACAGCTAAGCAATTTTTCTCTGTACTCTTTAAAACTACAATGGTCCCACCATAACGGGCAGACGCGGGCCCAGCAAAAATCGATCTAGGGCCGCGCCATCCCGGCAGTGGACCGGAGGCAGGGACAGGCTGGGGCGGTGGGGGGTCAGGGTGCGCAC